TACAAGTTTTTTGAGCTGGCAACTGAGTTGACAGTCAACCTGATGGTAAGTGGTAGCCCAGAAGCACAACAGACGTCACATGACGACTGTGGTAACCCTCATGCGTTTACATTCCGTAGAACTAGTACATTACGCCCCGATATCCTTATATGTATATAATATTTCAAACCACATTTCATTCCGCAACTGAAACTCACATTACAAAATAACACTATGATATTTCGCCGCTAAAATAGGTGAGCCAGATATACCAAAGCCAAGTTCTGGTGAAATTCAAAAAAATCTGATTTATATTTGTTATAAATTGCATAATACATATTATCCACTGAAAATATATAAGTTATATTATCTAAATGCATACAAAATTACCTGGAATGGTCTGATCATATCATCTCGGATGCCGACAGTTCTTCTGTCGGCATATTCTTTAAATCTGCCTATTTCATGCAACGGTATATTGTCTCTTCTTCTAAGTCTACCAACAATATAATTATTATTGGCTTCAGATAGTTTAGTACAAATGACTTATGTAAATAAAGCAAAATGTACATTTAGGAAACATTTCAAATACAATTAATCATTTTATTTGGTTTAGTTTATACAGATCGATGTAGATGTAAATAAAATTTCACATCACCCATCATATTCAATAATTATATAATTAAAAAACTATAGTCGTAAAACTATTATAGGATGTGCAAAAAATATATAAATTGAGTACTTTATAAGTATTAGATTATATTTGTTATGACTTTTTTATTAATAATATTTCTTATTGTTTAATTTAAATTTTCGTCTGTGTCTTAGAAATTTATATCAACTGCCAAAACCTACTTTTAATACTATGTATGTACGTAACTAAATGACTATAATATACACAGACACAAACCTCAAGATTACATGACTGTCTCACATACTGTTTATTTCTGGAAATTTTGCTATAAGATAAGAATACGAAGAATATACAATTTTTTTTGTACAATAGTTACATTTTTCAAAATAATATGGAAAATTTCGTCTTAAACGTTTGTATGTGCAAATATGGTTTACAAATTCCGTCATAGAAGGGAAAGAGATTGTTAATAATAGAGGCAGTTGACCTCGTCGCTGATAATGTACCATATCAAGTCGAACACCACGCAATTCTCCTCCTCTCCTCCTTGGAATCCATCGTAGTAAATTCCTACTGAATTCATCACAATGATGACTCTGACTAACCTTACCTTTGAATAGCATTTATATATATTAATATAATACAATAAAGAAATGGATATTAAGTAATAATCAATAACTGATTAACTGCAGCTATAATCGATTTGATTGATTTCTGTCATGTATTTCAAAGTTCAACCTATTAACTTCCAATGGTGCCCCGCCAGCCGTAAACTGTTAGCACAGGCAGGTGTTATTTTAATACATGATAATGGAACGGTGTTCTATACTCATCCATTAAAAAAACTTCCGTCATATCCCGTGGGAAGCCGTGGTTTTGTGACCCAAATGCATATAATTTAAACAGCCTGTATCAAATAGCATAAAAACTTTTACGATACATATTGAAAATTGGTAGTATATGAGTAAATATTTTATAGTGGCACTAAACGGAATGACATACATAAATAAATATATATATATATACATCCTTGGACAATAACATAGCTGTCTTTCACAGAAGCTGAAAGGCCAGGCTTGCTGTATTAAGATAAATTATTTAGTACAATATTATATTTTTACTTAGTACTTAAAAATGCAGGGACTTACTATGGTATACTTGTATTGTTAACTTTAGTAAAATCTTATTTAAGAATTGTCATTATAGAATAGAATAGATCGTCGATCGATAGAATAAATCGTTTATTCAAATAAATTTAATTTAAGCACTTTTGAAAAGTCATACTACTAGTAATAGTCATATACTTTTATCTATATATTAATACATAGGAAATTTCTGGCTCAATATACTAATACATAGGAATCTAATATAAAAGGATCTGAATTAGAACCTTAATAGCGTTTAGACTTATCATTGTCATCGTCAGCCCACTGCTGGACACAGGCCTCTGCTATATCTGTTATGATTTATGACCGCAACTCTACATATGTCGTCGCTTCACCTAGCTGCGTTATATTAAATAAATTATAGTCGAATTGCGATCACTGGGCGCCCACTAGTATATTAATAGCACCTAATTTTGAAACCTAGGGGAAAAGGGGATTGTTAGTAATGCAGACTGATGATCTCATTGCTAGCAGTGTACCATGTCAGTTTGACCTCCACGCGGTATCCCCTGAAAATCATCGTGACAAATTATTTATTTATCATCCTCCACTGGTGCCCTGCCAGCGTAAACCGTTAGCGCAGGCGGATGCACCATTCCATTTTCATCCATGAAAAAAAAAAAAACATTGTCCATAGACAATGATTTTTCCATTATGTTCCTAGGATTAAAATAGTTGACTGGCATGGCATGTTTTAAATCGGTTTAAAACTGAAAAACAAAACCTTCAAAATCAATATTTCGGTCCTAACTCAATTCCTAATTTAATCTTATCAATTTTGCGGTGACTCGAAATAAACAACGTTCTTTTGTTCTACTTATTCCATCAAAGTAAATTAATTTAACTTCGGTGTCGGAATTAAATTTGAATGGTATCACCTTTAGGGAATACTCAATAAACAAAGTCAAATGTCACCAAATACCCGATTTATTATTTGCTTTGATGTATTTTTAATGCATAATTTTAAATCAAATATTAGCACTCTGCATTTCTCTATATAAACTTAAACTAAAAGTAAGAAATTTCGTACTCCTTCGTAAGCGCAATTTATGTAAAATGGGCTGCACAGTTTTTGCTCTAGTTCTAGAAACAGTCTATAAAATATTTTTATAATGATTAAGTGGTACAGTATTCTGGTGTAATGACTGGGTGAAGACTTTAATATAAACAATGGAAGTTAAAAAAGATAGAGATAGAGAAAAAAGAGATGTTAGGATAGAAAGGGGTAAAACTCAACAAAGTTTAAAAAAAACAGTGTTAACATTAATTTTTATCAATGTTACCTATTGTTTATTATTGCTATAATAAAACAATATTTTTATGAAACAGATCAGTCAAACTTAAATGCTTTCTGAAAAATCGTAAACAAATTATAATAAAAAACAATAATGTTGTTTCTAATTATCAAAGTTCGATCAGAAAACCAACAGTGTAATGAAGGTAAATTGGTTCTAATAAATGGTGGTATTAAATATAATCTATCACTATCACTGACTAACATTTCTGGAAACAACCATGTTGTTCTAAAGGTGCGATTCCGACGGTCACGACAGCTGAACACATTTTTTTTATGAAACTTTATTTTTGTATGGGTACATCCACCTGCGTTAATCGTATATCAGATTAGTCAGCCCATCGTGGTCATTTTACAAGGAATTAAACAGAATGGTTTCCAAGAGTAACGGCCAACCTGACACGACATCGCTAACAATAGGTAATAATAATAATAATTGTACAATTTTTATAAGTCCAATAAATAATAAATAAAAAAAAACAAATAAATAGGGTCACTAATTCCCATTACTAACAATTCTATCTCCCAAAGTTAAATAAATATCTATATATTGTCGCTTCACTACATATATATGATAAATTATTTTATTGATTTTAGGTAAGTATTTATTTTTATTTTACACTAGCGATCCGTTCCGGCTATCACGGATGCATTACATATCTTTGAATTTCTCGGCTTGTTCTATACTATAATATGCATGTATTATACATATAAACCTTCCTCTTGAATCAATCTATCTATTGCTGAAAACGGTATAAAAATACGATTTGTAATTTAAAAGATATAAGCGAACAGACAGCGACGGCGAATTGGTTTAAGTAGAGTCGGCTAATAAAAGAGATAATGTCGTAGTCGTAATACTGAAAATGCCACCTTAACCCACACGCAAACGTACTAATCTAATCACAGACCACGTTCACCAGTTACTGCAAATAAATGACCACTACATTTGAACAAACCCTTTAATTATGGAAAATTGTTATACACGATTTATCACACTTATCACATTCATATAGTTACAGTGTTCAGTACATTTTATTTCTTATATATAATGTATATGTTACAAGTTTATGACTAAACGGATCTTAATGAAAATTAACAGTAAGATAGGTTATATTATGAGGATGGATATTGGCTATTTTATTGTCTAAAGTATCCATAACCACACTAATATTTTAAAGCTGCTGACTAGCTGATCCGTGTAACTTCATGTGCATGACTCTTACTTCACATTTACCATTATATTTTATCCAATTTACATAATATATTCTTAATTTATAGCCTATATATGTTACACTGATGTATAAGCTGTATTACTGTAAAGTTTCATTAAGATCCGTTCAGAAGTTATTGCGAGAAAAATAACAAATTTCCATCCATAAACTTTCGCGTTTATAATATTTGTAAGAAGTAAGAGGATATTGATAAAAAATATCACGTAGACAAGAAGCCAAAAGCTTGTGTGTGAAGAAATCAGGTTGTTTTTTTTTCTTTTACTAGTTATGGCCACGATTTATCCCATGTAAAATTTATAGCCTATGTGATATTTTGTATAAAGTTCTATAAAATTTCATCATCATCCGTTCAAAGTATAAGTTATATTACTAACTTAAAGTTTCATTAAAATCTGTCGAGTTGAGAGTTTTTGCGGGATAGAGTAATAAACATCCATCGATCTATGTATTCATATTCATAAACTTTCGCGTTTATAATATTAGTAAATTGTCTGAAAAATGAGACGCACTCACGTATATAATACCTGGCATATTATATAATTGGTTCTATCAATCGTATTAACTTGAAAGCAGAATCCTAAACGCCGACACGTAAACAATCAACCAGTAATCCATTAGAGACACACGCCTAATGATTTTGGTGCGTTCAGAAAAGGAAAAAGCCAGCGGTCATCCAACTTGAAAATAAAGAAATGAGGAGGAAACACACCAGGAAAAACTTATCCCTGTGGATGACGCCGGATAGTTAGTATATACATTTTATATTTAATCTTATACTTAGTCTTAGTCCGCGACTTCATCTGCTTTTTTTGTAATAAAAGAATGTGATAGACATTCATGTCTGTTCTGGTGACTCACGTCAAATGGTTTATCTTCAAGTCAAATTTCATTAAGATCTATTTAGTCGTGAAAACGTAATATACAGACGTAGAGTAACATTTTCGCTTTTAAAATATAATATTAGTATAAATAATAATACACTTCTGAATAATATAGCTGTATGCAGGTGAAAGAATATTTAAATAGGCTCAATATTTCTTAAATTCTTTATTATGAATTAAACTCTCGAATTTTTTTCTGTTTGTTACATACATATGTATTTCTCTTTATCCCAAAAAGCGGACGAAGTCGCGAGTATCGAATAGTGAGTAGAATTATATCTATATTTTTAAAAATAGTAGATCCCTGTAATAATATCTATGATGAGAGAAGGAAATTTCTAGTAATGTGGAAAACTACGTTAACCAAGTTAAATTCCTGGTGAATTTGCCACGATGTACTAACTGACCTGACCTCATCTTATCATCCCCAACGGATGCCCAGCCGGCATAAACCGTTAGCGCAGGCGGGTGCACCAGTCCATTACCATCCATTGAACAAAAATGTCATTCGTAGGAAACCTGGCTTTTTTATCACATTTACAATAGCGTCTTCTATTTCAGTAAACAAAGTGCACGTTAAGGAAAAATCATGGAAGACTCCTGCAACTTTTCAAAAATCATTAAAAATCACATTGATTATGGGGCAGATTTTCTCTCTATTACCAGTTATGGGTATATGCAGTAATGATCCATTGAAAATCAGGTAATACATTCTTATTCATACAAATCCAGTTCAGCATATATATTCAGACGAACGAGAGAGAAAGAAGTCCAGTCCAATATATAGATTAAATTAAAGGAGAGGCAAAGAAGAACTGGCAAGAAACGTAAATTGAATTTCTTTTTTTTAAAAAGCCACACACATTGTACACTTCTGTAGATCAAAATCCCGTGCATGAACAACTATTCCTATACTGCAAAGTATATATTATTCTTATCATTTCTTGCTTGTTCTTTTTATGACGAGTCTGCGTTCCGTCTCCCTTTTTACAGGGGTAATACATTCAAACATGCGGGCCTTAGCCAAGTGGATGAGTTATATGATGATGATAAAAGTGATGATCCTGTTAACATCCACGCCCTATATTATCGATATCACTGGCGTCGTATGATAACATGATAATCCAGTCATTCGGAACGCAGCCGAATGACTGGAAGATTAAAAAAAAATATGACTATACAAGACCAGAAATAATCTTTATTCAAATAAACTCAATACAAGCAGAGTTTATTTGAATAAAGATTATTTCTGCTTCCTTTTCACTCTTCGTAATAAAACTAGCATGTAATCAAGCCTTGAAACCAAATACAATAAGTAAAACAGGTATGAGTACCTCTGATGCAGATGGCTTTGTAGGATTTCCCTCTGGCAGGCCGCTGTCAACTCGCAATCCCATCAAATCCTATCGCAATTTGCGGCGCAGCGACAACGCGATTCAAATATAATTCCTGTACTTTAGTAAATTTAAACATTGTATATTGAGTCTTGTATTGAAATCTTCAGTCCTACTGAGATATTTTATAAATAACTTTCATAGACCACATAATCGTATAATTGCCGAGCTCAGTGGTCTAGCGATTTAGCACACCACTTTACGTTCAATGGTGTCGGGTTCGATTCCTCGCACGGTGTAAACATTTGTATTCATGAGTATGATTGTCTAGGCGCTTTCTATATTATATTATAGACTTATATACAAATAAAAATGTATTTATATTAGTTGTCTAATACCCATAACACAAACTCTGTTTAGCTTGAGACTATATGGCGCTGTGTGAATTGCCCTGGGTAATTATTATGATTATCTAAATATCATGACTAGACCTATTGACCGCGATAGACTTTGTAAAAAGTAGTTTTCGAGTGCATCTACCCCAGTCTAAATTTTCAACCGATAAGCAAATTGCTTTGAAGATGTGTATTGTTTATAGAAAGTGAAATATAAGGCTGTGAAAGGTATTAGCAACACATTATCAATACTACGGGCGTCATATGATAACATGATAATCTTACTACTGTTCATGTATATGAGTGAGAGTTACCACTTACCATCAGATGGAGCTTTAGCCTGTTTGGTGTTAAAATTGGATAAAAAAAACCTTTTAAATAGTTTCCATAAAGCGTATTATAATCAAAATATATTTACTCTACAATAAATATCTGTTACAGATTTGTTTATACATCATGGAAATGCTTCTACTCATTTTTTTCAATACTTGGACAATTGTATATGACTTTCATGTGTATTTATAAATTCTCATTGTTTATTACCTCAATGAATAATGCAGGTAAGTAAAAAATCAAGTATTTTTCTAATCTAAAGTTATTGCAATTGACACCTACTGATATATTTATTTATTGTACTAGATGTGCCCGCGGCTTCGCCCGCGTAAAATTTATAGCCTATATGTTATTCTGATGTATAAGCTATATTACTGTAAAGTTTCAGCAGAATCCGTTCAGTAGTTTTTACGTGAAAGAGTAACAAACATCCATTCATACTTACAAACAATCGCGTTCATAATATTAATAATATATGTAATACGAGTATACTAGAGGGGAAAGGGGATTGTTAGTAACGTGACATTATTAGCAATGATCTTGTTGACATCCACATGATTCCTGGAAACTATCATTATAAATTCCTGGTGAATTTCTCACGGTAGGCTAACTGACCTATCTCATGTTCATCTTATCATTCTCCACTGGTGCCTCGTCAGCGTAAAAAGTTACGCAGGCCAGTGCACTATTCCATCATCATTCATTAAACATAGGAGTACTCTATACATATGGTAAATATAATAGAACGAATAACAAACATAATAAGTCATTACTCATTACTGTGAATGGGTTTTTCCTACCAAATAGAAGGGGTTAAATGGAATTTTATTTCAATGTAAGCATGCTCTCTTTTTTTTTAATTTGCTCTCATAGTCGCCTCTTATAATCTTTTCTTAGTTGTTCGTTAAGTAGAATAAAACTAAGAAAGCGGTTACATAGATTCGTCGTATATTTTGTCGTCAAAGAAAAAGATTCAGAAAGAAGGTAGATTTGTCTGCACTTTTAATTGTTTAGATCAACAACAATTCTCAATGATCCCGTGTCCAAGATACATTGTACTGTAACCAAATATCAGATAATAACAATAATTTTCTTAAATAAAACCGACTTCGATATCTGAAAAAATATAGGACCAATATGAAAGTATATTTCTCTTTGAACCAATATAGTTTTAGATACGGTAGATTTGACATATAATAAGAGTCTGTAATAAAGCTACATGAAAATGATATTTTGAATTTGAATTGGTCCCTGGTTTTAAAAGGTTCACTCCCCAAATAGTTTTATTTCTTTTTTTATGAGATAGGGGATAAACTATTTTGCTTCTCACCTGATGTGATTACCCAATGAACAACCGCAACACCAAGAGAATTGATCTGTAGCTGTATATCGTTTGAAATATGAGATATGGTAGCGTCATTACAGAATAGTGAGGATGACATTTTACTTCTACGGTATGACACCGCATGAGAGGTACAGCAGGCATCGTGAGACGTCATTACGCACCGTTTATAAGACATGATAGTTTGGTTCTCCGGAATGCAGGCAGGCTTCATGAGACAATACACTGTTTTTGTACATAGGCAAAGGTTGACACTTACCAACAGGGCCCTCCTGTTGCTCCTCCTGTCAGATTGTCATTACAGTTACAATTCACTGAATGAAGGCTTCGCTGGTCTGGCGGTTCAGCACACCACCTTACATCCGATGGTCGCGTGTTCGATTCGTCGCACAGCACACACACACACACATTTGTATTCATGAGTATGATTGTTTGTATCAGTCTGCGTGTTTGCTATGTATAAAATGTATATATTTACGAAAAAGAAATCTGTGTATTTGTATCAGTTATTATAACATAAGTTTTAGCTACCTTAACTCGGGTCTAGATGGCGCCGTGTGAATTCTCCTGAGATTATTATTAATAATCCGCAGAATTGCCTGCATTAATTTGATTAAATAATATCCCATATCTATCTATCTATCTATCTATCTATCTGTCATTGTTTTATGATCTATCATCCAAATCCAGTATTTTTTGCAAGGAAAAGTAACGAATGACTATTCATTCATTCATCCATTCGTCTACAAAACTTTCGCTCTCATATTAATAGGATTTGTATGTTTCAGCGCCACTCATCTTTTACGGCACGTCATGCTTGTCTATGGTGTTGTTTTATGATGCGGCGAGAGCGTGGCCATCTCTAGTACAGCATATAGCAAGCACTGAACAAATCGATCCTAATTACGATACGAAATTAACATACAAATGTAACATTACCTGTATTGTGGTACTGACGTTGGCTTTAAGTAAGTATATTATTAATTATTATTATATTATTTTATAGCATAGGAATCAAACAAACGAGAAATAACACTCACCTGATGGCAAGTGATTACCGCCCATAAGCTTGCAATTCCCCTAGTGTATCCGGAACATTAGGGGAATTGCAAGTGCGTTGCCGGCCTTTTAAGAAGAAGGAAATTATTATTACATATTTTTTTGTAAAATGATCGTAGTAAGCTTACAGTCCGCCTGATGATAAGCGGCCACTACAGCTTATAGTATAGATACGCTTGAAATATAACAAAGATCTTAATTTAACAATACTTAAATCCATTAGGTATTATCTCCGAAACAATATGTGTTTAACATTTTAGACGAGCAATGAACACTGCAATTGGATGTTCCTAGGTTGTATTTGTTCCATGGACCTTGTTCTAAATTTAACTTATAAAAAATTTGAATTCCTATTGTATTTTCAAAATTACTACGATACATAGAATAAATATTGTCTCTTTATTTTATTTTTTTCTTCTTTTGGCTCCGGGTCTCTTTATTTATATAGCAGGTTATTATTTTTTCAAAATTCGAATGCGTTATAAGTTGTTATATTTATATTTTTGCAGCTAATACTGCCAGTCTCTTTTTTACTTACCAGATTTTATTGTCTTCATCAAGTTCCGAACGCAAATATGTTTTTTTATTTATATTGCGGTCTACATTCAAAGATGAAATGAAAAACATCCTTCTATTGTTGTTTTAGTAACTATTTTTTATTTTGAATATCTCAGTAAAAATTTAAAATATATCTTTATTTCCAATTTTCGTTATATACTGTTAAAAACTACAATGTAAATGTAAGTAATATATTATATATTCTATTTGTATTTTACAGTAGAACACATACTATCTCTCCTCTCGAAGTTTGCCGCGGCCGCAGTATGTTTTCCGAATGCCAGCGTCTATGAAGGTTTCAGTAGATATGCCTATCCATCGATTTTTCAAGTATTGCCATATTCAACCACATTGGGAGTCCTTACCCAGGTACCTAATTATAATAAAATGGGCCCAGCTAGTTGCCGACAACTGTGGTCTAACGGTCTGACTTTACACTACTTTCGGGTAGTCGCAGAATCGATCCACTCACATTACAAATTTGATCGATTTTAGGCTTTGTAAAGTTGTCTGTGTCCTCAGTTTCAGCTGTCAAGCAGTTTGTTTTAAAAGTTGTCTTTTGGTTGAATGGTGAGATAAGATAATACGGAGGCCCCCAGGCCGAAAAAGCACTGCACATTTACACATTAACACAAGCTTCAATTTTTTTTTATTGAAATGATAATCATACTGGCATAAAGATTGTAAGTGTTGACCATTGTCTATAGAGATATATTATCAAAATTACGTACATCATGTTATCACGTAACGGCCTTATGATGATGATGTAATGGCCAAGGTGCTAACGTGGTGGGTAAACAGACTGTTTATTATACCAATTACATAAAAAAGACTATATCTAACTATTGTTGTAAGTGTGGAAAAATCATAAAGGTAAAATATAGATCACTAACCCTTATTTCAATTTACGCTCGACTTTCCTTGTGTCGCTCCAGGGATGTCAACCCTGCGAGAATAATAATAACAATATCTCAGGACAATTCATATAGCGCCATCTACTTTTAATCTAAGTAAAGATCGTGTTATGGGTACTAGACAACTGATACAAATGCATAGATTATTTTCTTTAAATAAATATATATATATATAAAATAGAAAATACTCAGAAGGATATAAACAATAGTATTCATCATGAATAGCAATATCTGTACCGTGCGAGGAATCGAACCGGCAATCGGAAGTAAGGCGGTATGTTAAACGGCTAGACCACCGAGGCTATATATCCTCAATTCGTCAATCCTCATACCAATACGAGATTTTTTTACCTTTGGTATGGGATATCCTCATACCAAAGGTGTAATGCCATACTTATAAATTTGTATGAGATTTTGACCTATAAAAATCGGTCATAACACTATAATGTACGAGTTCTCTAACCTAGTTCGCTAACCAAATTGGGGTAATGTATAAGATTTTATTAGATTTTTTAGTTCTTCGTCCGAGGCTAAGTGTTTTAAGATTATCAACCCTGTGTCCCTCTTTAGAACCAACATAAAAACGTCGGATTTATTCGTGTCCCATTTTCTTACAGTTCCTACACTTCCAATCGACATTTATTTGGAATTTCTCAGATTTGTTCGTGATATGCATGAGTTATTATTTGACGTCGCGTCTCCAGCATATCAATGAGAGGCTGCTAGAAGCGCAAGGGAAGGTTTGTACATTAACTGTAAATATTGCTTGTTTTTAAATTTTAAAAGGAATCATTTTTATAACATACTACCTGGACGGCCCAACTTTGTCTGCAAAAGACTTATCTAATTTATGTAATATATTTTTTAATTATAGCCTGTGTTATTCTGATTTATATATACCTATATAACTGTGAAGTTTTATCAACATCCGTTTAGTAGTTTTTTGACATCCATCCATCCATCCATAACAAAACAAACAAACTTTCGTTTATAATATTAGTTTATAACATAAATTAAATATACCTCTATGATTGTTATTCAACATGGGGGGGTTATCAGAAGCATTGTTAACTTTCAATGATTAACTGATAACACAGCATTTGTCATCGTTTCGTTGTTATCATTTCAATCTATTTAAGGCGAGTTAAATGCTATCACTCGTAATAATTTAGTTTGTTATCAGTGTTTTTATCATAGTAGTGTTATTCAGAATCATAAGTTGATAATTTTTTTTTAATTTGTGTTTGCCAAATTCGAAAATACGACCTTTATGGCTTGGATTGTAACCTGTAAAATACTGAAGTATTAAGATACAGTAGAATAGAAAATTCTTTATTCAAATAAACATACATTTGAGCACTTTTGAATAGTACTTAAAAGTAATTTATTTTTTAATCTATAGCTTATTCGGAAGGCTGTCTCATCACACGAAGAACTTGCGTATTGCTCTTTTGAATTATTTAGTTGTAACTTTGTTTCTGTAAGTTGAAACGACTGAATATAAACTACCAGCTATCACTAATTCATTAGAGTCAAAATAATAAATACACAACGTAATACAGATAACAAGAAATTTTAAGAATTATCTCATGTACATGATGAACTGGTTTTCATTACCATATATCATTCTACACAAAAAAAAAAACTATACATAATTACCAAAATTCCTGAGTGGAACAAACAAACGAACTCACTCTATTCACAATATTACGATCAGATACCTATAACCCTAATTCCGCAAGAATTCCACTATTATGGAACACGTTGGAAATTGCACATTTTGCTGAACATATTTCAGTCCATTATAGCAATGGCGAGCCAACTCACTAACATGTTTCGAATTGTTTGGATTTAATAATGCTGTTTACTCGAAAATTTTGCCGGTATCCATTACACAATTCAGCCAGTTCAAACGCGCTGATTTTCGATGAAATACGATGGTGTATAAATCTTTCATAATAGTGGTAGGTAATTCTACTACTAAATCTGCTACTATAGGATCTAAGACTAATTGAAATAAAATATTTGCGGACTGTAATTTTTTTTTATTTATTTTGAAAACCAACAGCAAATTACAAAACGTTCTTAAAATTAAGGCATTAATAAAAGGTTTTGGCGCTGTTAAAACATTAAGTATAGCCATTTATGTAATGTATTTATATATATTTTTTAATCCTATCATTGAGTTCTAGTGTCCATTTTAAATTGTGAAGAACTAGCCAGACTAAACCATTGTCGTTTTTTAAAGTCTGTGTCGGGTGGACTGGAAGAGATTTCTTTTAGAGACAAGAGCTTCTTTGCTCACATTGTCTCTAATTAACATAATTAATATATTTAAAAGTGCAGTTTTTTTTAATTGGAATAGCACACAAACTGGTGGTAGTAACCTGATGGTAGACTGTAACCGTCGAATGAACAGCACTACGGAGATCGGAGTTGGAATTTCAGAGGACTTAGATGTCATTTCTCTTATCCTGTAATTTCACTACAACCGGAACATATTTTACAAAACAAACAGTTTAGTGAAATAAGCTAGAATGAGTTACCCACTCAGATGACTTGAATAAAATCTAGCTCTGGTTACCTTAATTTTCAACAAAATAAACTTATTGAATAATATATGGATACATATACACAACAAATCTATACTGGTCGCGATATTACAGTTCTTAAGACTGGACAATAGCCCAAACCCCCCCAATAAAAAAATAGATATATTTCGTATAAAAATCTTAATCTTTATAATATTATAAACGCGAAAAATTGTGAATATAGATGTTTGTTACTCTTTTACGCAAAAACTACCGAACGGATTTTGATGAAACTTTACAGTAATATAGCCTATGCATCAGAATAACATATAGGCTATAGTTTGTATTGAAATTTAACGCGGGTGAAACCGCGGGTACAGATAGTTATATATAATTCTCATAATCTTCTAGTATCTACCAGAGTCGTTTTGGAAGACGACTCGAGAGGATTACTGCCGTGCCATCAAGTTGGTGAGGAAGGTCGACGACGTCATCAGTGGAATTGTATTCATTTCCTTCGCTAACAACCTTATCTTTATCTGCTTGCAACTTTTCAATACTTTGGAGTAAGTTATATTTGTTGCTATTTCTTTAACTCTTATCCTATGTTATAGACAATTCAAAGACTTATTCATTATAATATAATTGTTTTTATTAACACACCAGCCTCGTCTGCGTTTTTCATTTATAGTCGGCTCCTATTAGTCGTAGAATGATGTCATATAGCTTAGCTTTCCTCGATAAATTATCTATTTAACAATTGAAACTAGTAGTTCTTGAGATTAGCACATTCAATTAAACAAATAAATCTTCTACATTATAACGTTAATAAATATTTTAAATAAGTGATTTTGATTGGTATATAAGCAGACTTATCCTAATGAAATCCTAAGTCAGAGTGATCATACCTAAAACCAAATGAATCCTTAACTTAACTCTAACTAAACGCAAATTTAAAGAATCTACGATATTTTTTGTACTTTTTGTAATTAATATTACCACAGATAACATAATAATTACTTTTCCTAAGTAATATTTATTTAGGAAAACGTTATCTACACTAATAATATAAGGAGGATTGATTTTTATTTTTATATAATTGTCACGAATAAATCACAATTATACTCAATAATATTTGGACAGATTAAAAAAAATATTTTACCATTACAATACTACATTATCCCTAAGCATGGTAGTAAGTAAAGACTACATTTATTACTAGGAAAACATAGTACCTTAAAACTTTAATGATGTAACGTAGGTAATAATTTTCAAATTACATTTTCCAGAGACGGTATTAAAGGTACTAGTGAATGCAGCGGTCGATCTAAAAGGCAAGTATGATGTTATAAAATTATTGATTTATTGGTATTAATTGTCATGTAATTCTGTCTATATTCGACATAACCTTAATGGTCCTCACTATATGAAGGGGATATTATACCATAATGTTATTGTGGTATAATATCCTGATATTCGACTAGTGATCAGGACTATAGTAATAGGGTCGAAATATCGCGAACTTGCGTAAATAATTTTGTAGTGATTAGTCTCCGTTTCTATAATGTGTACAATTGTCACAATCGTGAAATTTTGTATATAACACCTCCTTTTAATTATAAAGTTAAATAGCAGTGCATAATTTTTTTTAGATTTATTTATGGATAGTAATGTTGAAGAAGCGATATACTTTTTACTCTCTATGGTGTTTCTGATAGGCCAATATGTGACAGTATTTCCTATAGCAGGTCAAGTACACGGCCTCTGAATCCTCAAAAGTAGTAATCTTCTGCCTCTGTTTAAATATATGTATTATACAATCTATATACGTCGATTATTATATTCTTCCATCAATATTGCATTCGATAATCGATATATCTAGATATTATTATAATAATAACCCAGGGCAACTCATACAGCGCCATCTAGTCCCAAGTAAGCAGAATCTGTTTTATACTAGACAACTGATAGAAATACTGAACTACATTGTTTTGTAAATACATATATAATGCATATAGAACACACCCACGTCAATATTATCAATCATAATCATGAACATAAATATTTGTAAAGGAATCGAACCCACAATCATCGGATGTAAAGCGCTAAACCACTATACCAGCGTCTATCTCAAATAAGAACCGTCATTTACTATGTATTCTTTTTTTTAGATCAAACTTACTGGGAGGCCACGAGTCGGCTGTATACTTTTTATTCTCATTGGTGTTCTTGATAGGCCGATCAGTAGCCGTGTCTCTTATAGCGGCTCAAGTGAACACAGCCACTGAAATGCCGGCTCCCGTGCTGTACGACGTACCTTCGCCGGCCTACTGCGTCGAGGTTAGGCAACTCTCTGTAATAAGTACTCTTTGTTGTACTTGTAAAGAGACATATGTCATAATCTAAAATTATAATCACGAATATTTGTCTAAAAATAAAAATCTAAATCCGTTATGTAAGGTCGAAAATGAATCGCTGGACAATTCATAGAGCGCCATCTAATCGCAAACTAAGCGTAGCTTGTAGTACTAGACAACTGATAAATACTGAAATACATTTTGTAAATACATACATAATATACATAGAAAACACCCAGATCATTACAAATAATTATACTTATGAATACAAATGTTTGTACGGTGTGAGAAATGAACCGGCAACCATCGGAGTTAAATCGGTGTGCTAAACCGTCAGACCGTAGAGGCCGTCACGAATGTGGTATTACGGATGTCACATGATAACTTGATGTCCGTAGTGCTGTTCATGTGTATAGGCGACGCTTACTGTTTACCATCAGGTGAGACAAATTGCCATTGCTGGCAATGAAACAGGTTGACGCGATTCCCCTTGGAAACCGTCGTAGTAATTTGCCATTTGACAAAATGTCCTAACTGACTTCATGCTCATTTTATCATACTCCACTAGTGTCCCGCCAGCATAGGCTGTTAGCACAAATAGGTGCATCATTCCATTATTAACAATAAAAAAAGTAGGTATGTGCTTATAAAATCATGTAACAAATCCTTCACTAAAAATTCCTGCTTTGTGCAATTCGAAAGTGGTTTCATATTTGAGTTTTTACCGAAAAGAAAGCATTTCACTGCAAACACATTCGTGTGTGATGGTGTACATTCCGCTTTCAGTTCATTTCACATGTAAATGAATAAACACTGCGGTCATGTTTCCGTCGGAACACAAGTATAAAATGTTAACTTTTATACATTTACCAGAGCTACTCGTAGACTATGCACATAGTCTTCTGTCTCATCTGGATCATCCTGATAACTCTGTCGCATGTAATTTTTATATTACGCTTTTATTTTCCATGGACTTAAGTCCATGACCAATTTTATTTTAAATTCTATTTGTTCCTTCCTGTCCTCACTTTCTTCCCGAAAAGTATTGTGTGAGTAGTAGTGTAAGTTCTCTTCTTTTCCTATATACACTATTAATTGGTGTTTTAAGGCTTTGGCACACTCCATTCTATCCGAAACTGCAGCTATGTTGACACCGACCCTCTATTATTTCATGTATATCAGGGTCCAAACAGTTCTCATTCACTTGGGTGGTCATCATTCATATTGATAGCATGATAACGTCAGCTCCAATGAAATTGTTAAGAATCGTTTTTTTTTGTTTAGGAGCTATGATGCTACATATAGAAACATACGTGAAACTTATAACACCCGTATTTTAAATATTCATTCGCACTGTTACGAGTATGACTAATTAGAATGTTTTTTTCTTTTACTCTACGGACTCTTATTTTGCCTAAAAAGAGGGGAAATATTCTATCAGTTGTAGGTACATAATATTGTTTTTCTTTATAACAGGTGCAAAGATTTATAGATCAAATTAACGGAGAGAATGTTGCATTGAGCGGTTTGAAATTCTTCAATGTCACAAGAAGTTTACTCTTATCGGTACGTATAACTGTGAGAAGTACTTGTATTTACTTTTGTAGTTATTTAAAAATTATATATAAGTATGCCCATTATGCTAAATAGGATATACTATAAATCTTTTATTAACATTACTGCCTTGGTGGTCTACCAGTTTAAACACTTCCAATGGTCGCGGGTTCGATTCCTCGCACAGTTCAAACATTTGTATATAAATACTATGAATGTATGTATTAGTCTGGGTGTGTTCTACGTGTATTATGTGTGTATTTTCAAAAAATATATAATTATGTATTTATATCAGGTCTAGTACTCATATTACAAGCTCTGCTTAGCTTAGGACTAGATGGCGCTATGTGAATTGTTAGTATTATATTATATATTTTATATTATATTGGGCTAGTATTGTTATTTTATTGTTATTGTTACTATATATCTTTACTACTTTACTATACTATCTTTAAAAAACTTAAAAGCTGGTTAGTGAACCAGTACAGTACTAGCGCTTACACGTGTTATATAGATATTCAAAATATCGCCCTTAACTTAAACTCTCATACTACCCAGTAATCAATCCGTAATTAAACAATTAATCACAAATGGATACAAGAAATGATCGTATTTCGTTAAATCCTTTCATTTGACCCAACAAATGTATTTACCGTTTCTAAGAAAGAGGATTTCAATATTAATTAACGGTTGATTACATACCTACCTATACTTAGTGTCTATATGTATGTATAAAAACGGAAGGTAACGAACGGCTATTTATTATTCAATTAAGAAAGGGGGCATCTCGTTTTTACAATTAGTGGCATTTTGTGTTTCTATTTCTTAGATTTACTTTCTAAAATCCAAATGTTTGTCCATTTGTAACTTTCGTTGCTTGTTGCTGCTAGTTACTGTTCTCATATACATTTGCGATCTTTTTTTTAGTTATACACATCTGTTTGGACGCAGCTGTCCTTTACAGATTAAGCTAATAAGGCAATGACCACGACAGTTCTTAATAATGATAAATGTGAATATATATGATTCATGTTCCAAAACTGTTATAGCGAGTTTTAGGAAACGGTAAAATCATTATATATTTTAATATTTTCCCAACTATATTCTTTATATACCGTGAACTTATACTTTGTATATATTAATATAATGAAAAAATATATTACAAAACATTTATAAACTGTAGACATTTTTTTTAATTTTGCTTACTGTTTTATCACGAATTCTAAATACTGTTGAATACTGTAAACATAAATCAAAATTTTTAGTTATGAATAAGTATTATTAATACAATATAACCATTACTATATAAATTTAGACTAAATGGTAACGGATTCTTATTATTTCAGAGCAAAAAAAATTATTAATTTAAAATGAATATTCGTAAAGCCAGCAACTTATTTTTAAAATAGTAGATACTTTAAATAATTCAATAGATATGACGTATCGAATGGTTTTTTATTTTTTTCTTTTCTGATTTTGAATAAAGCTTATTTTCCTTTTTTTTCAGGTCGCCGGCACTATTGTCACCTACGAGCTAGTGATGTTTCAATTCAATACATCAGCTCCAAATACCAACACTACTGTTATACATAATAATATGACCACTGTAGCACCTTAACGTCATTGAAAGATCATGTCATCATCATAATTTAATTGAGATAATGCAGTGAAATTATAGGATAAGACGCAACTAAGAGGTCATCTTAGTTCTCCCAATGGTAATTATTGAGTGGTATTCCTGACGTCACATGATAACGTGATGTATATAGATGATAATTACAGCTTATTATTAGGAGAAAAGCCATGTACATAGGCGAAGGTCCCTACTTATAATCAGGTGGAAAGTCAGCTTGTTTGTTATTTAATGACACAATAAAACACTACATGTAGGTCCTTATAAGTCTTAGGTCATATTGTTATGTAGGAATATCTAGTAATATATAGTAGTAAAGGGTATATCAATAAACTAGAGGTATTTTTAAGTACCTATTCAAGAGACCTACTTTAGGTACTTTCTCAAAGGAGGAAAATATAAATAGTTATTAAAATCTTTGTACGGTTACGTGATAACTTACATATGTGTATTGCAAAATTAATTTTCAGATTCCATAGTCCTAATCCTATGGTATACCCTTCACGATTAATCTTGTGTAACAAGTATTATATGTATTTAATCATAATTGTGCAATAATTTTCACTATTCCTGTTCGTTCTTTTGAAAAATTAAGTGAGAACATATTTTACTAACAAATCCTAATGTATCTAAAGAAGATTTTGCTTACATTATTCGCTTATTATGTATATTTAATCATACTTATGGTATAATTTTCACTATTCCTGTGCGTTCTTTTGAGAAAATAACTAATAAGAAATTTTACTAAAAAATCATAAAGTATCCAAAGAAGGTTTTGCATACATCACGCTCTTATATATATTTAATCATGCTTATGGTATAATTTTCACTATTTCTGTTCATTCTTTTGAGAAAAGAAGAATTTTTTTATCTTGAAATCCTAACGGATCTAAAGAAGTTAGGTACAAGTAAAACATCTAGTATAGCAACAAATACACATATGAGAGTTGTAGCCGATTATAACTAATAAACTGGAAGAATATATTACATTCTAATATACTTGTAAGAAGTTATTTTCTTTTTCTTTGTTATGAATACGTGTCTTAAAGGCTTTGCTTGTATTATGACAATATATCGGTAACGTACGAATTTTCAGCCTCCCTTCTCTCTTTGAGTTAGTCCTAATGAGATCATTTTGTTGGGATAAGGGTTTATGTATATAATCTGTCATATTTGTCGTATGTTTGTTATGAGACAATAATACGGGGATTAGGATCGTGGTTGGTTTAAGACGTAATATTTATTACGTGTTCTCTATCTTAGTTGTTGATAGATGTCTGATAAATTATGTTTTCCTAGCGTTGTATACTAATGTAATAATAATATTTCAGGACAATTCACACAACGCCATCTAGTTTCAAGTTAAGAAGAGCTTAATTTGAGACTAGATAGCGAGATACCAACACAACCATATATTAGACACAGATACATTTTTTCGCTCTACGTGTTTTCTATGTATATTACATATAGAATATAATATACATAGAAAACATAGATACAAACAATCATACTCATGAATACAAATGGTTGTGCCGTGAAAGAAAACGAATCCGCAACCATTGGAAATGAAATGGTTTACTAAACCGCTAGACCACCGAGGCTGTCGTTATAAAGAGAGTAAGAACAGATTTTATAATAATGAAAGGAAACTCCGAGACCACTGCATCGATTTGAGAAATTCTTTGACTGTTTTATAGATATCTATATTACTACAGATTATCATCCTTACTAATATTATAAATACAAAAGTTTGTCCGTCTATTTGTTGCCTTTTCACTAGTAAAATGCTGAACGGGTCGTCTATATTCAAGCTAGGATAAGGTATTGAAAACTATCTAATACTTTATCTATCCGCGACCATCGAAAGGCGAGGCAGCGCGGCAAATCGCTACACCGGCAAGATTTTCTAATCATATATAACGTAACAAAAAAATATATGAATATAATATATATACTTTTTGACCCTTATTATTTTAATAGTATAAACCTTTATCAAACGTAGCAGATATGTAAGACAAATCTTTCGTAACGGTAACACTGCCCCAGAGACCATTTGTGCGTAGTTTGTGAACAAATAGTCACATCAATCAACCTACTAGCCTGCCATCAGGTCGTTGGATCCTTGTCCCTTAAAATGACTTTATGGTCTTCAGCATACATTACACCCAGGCAGATGTTTATGAAGATAAACGATGTGAATTTAAACATTTTATCGAATAATTTTGAATAAAAATAAATATTTCTATAATAAATATTCATAATATTATACATTTCTAATGTATCTATTATTATTATAACTGTTTTTTTATGTAATTAGAAAGACAATCAAGCTGATGACCCAACTGATGGTAAGTGGTAATAGTCGCTTATATACGTGAACAGTACTACAGACATCATCATCACCTCGTCATGTGACACCTTTTATAACACTAATGTGTTGCCATTTCAGAAGACTACATTGTAATGTCTCCATTTCCTTTAATTTGAGGTAAATAGATTTATATATTTATTTTTATTTGTTTATTCTTTCATTGCACTTAAAATTTGTACAATTTGTCGACCTTAATGCCATATGATATTCTCTACCAGCTCATGTTATGTTATCTGTGTGCTATTAGGTGAGAATAGAAAGCGGTTGATGGGCAGTGGTGGGAAAGGACAAACCTATAATTTTAGCTAAAATAGGTAAATAGGTTTTCAAAAATAAAGATGATGATCTATTAGATCATTGGTAATGTGAACTAATAACCCAATTGCTAGTAATGTACCTTGTCAGGTTGACTTCCACGCGGTTCCCCCTGGAGACAATCGTGGAAAATCGCCATTTGTCAAAATGGACTAATTGACCTGACCTCGTGTTCCATACATCTGACATCGTCATGTAACCATTCTCCACTGCCGTTAGCGCAGGTACCCACCTGCGCTAACGGCAGTAGAGAATGGTATTATACCTTTTTAATCGATAAAACTACCTTATCTACTTTCTACAAATTCTACTTTCTAGCTACTCCACAAGTGTACCAGAATGGCAGCCAGTAGATATAAATGGCGAACTGTCGTAAGGTGGGAGACATCACCCCACCACGTAATGACCCTGACCGTTCTGTCAATAATGTATCGAATATGCAAAAGAATCTACCTATTACCGTCCAATGGAAACACACTTTACAAAGCAAACTCCTTGGCAGCTGAAATACCTGAAACTAAGTTAATAGTTTTTTTATATTTCCTCAATTTTGCAGACAGCGATAAGTTCTCTCTTCTTCTTTAGTCGTACCTCTTGACAGAATGGTCGTGCATGTCATGATGGTATCTCTTCGTTGTCCTCCTTGGCGGCAGAGCCAAGGCTCGCTATTGGTTTCCATATGGTACGATTTTTGGCTGTACGAGAACATTGTACGATGGATTGTTAGTGGCTGTTTTTAGCGATAACATTACATTTTTATTATATACACATAGCTGCAAACTCAAAAAAAAAATTTTGCAAAAAGTTAAAGTATTAGGGGTGGACAACCCTTATCATTTAGCGGTATGAAAAATAATAGTAGCCGATTCTCAAACTTAATGAATATGCACAAATATTACATGAAAATGGGTCAAGCCGTTTCGAAGTATGGTAACTAACGTTGTGACACGAGAATTTTATATATAAGGTTGTATAGTATAATAGTCCTATTGTATTGTATATTTTTCCACACATGCTAAGAACGTTATCTCATATTCCTTTTTTACGAGATCGTACATTTCAGAAATGTGGGTTTAATGTGTTTTGTTTTCTGTGACGCCACAGCAAAGGTCGTGGTTAATAGACTATACCCGTGTATTACTGTTCCTATACAATTTTATTTATTGATATATGTAGTATATTCCTACCTTACTACTGTGTGTGATAACCTGTATATAAGGCTATATATGAGCATTCAATGTTTCGTTTAAAATTAAACTAAGTAGTCCTGGTTTTCCAAATGTAAATATACAAGAAAACGAGCAAATAAACGTGTATATTAGGTGTGCAATTGATTAAAATAAAAGACCAAGTTCCGTCTATATTATTTCTAAAACTTATGTTCATTATGCACCCATAGTATAAGCAATAAAAAAATATTTTATTCTATTCACTAATATTTTATAACTATTTATATATTTTTTATGATATTTATATATATAGATTTTCGGAGATTTAATAATCTGACTATGTTTTCGTATTTTGCGACAATTGTTTCGATTTCACCCGGCAGCTTCTTCTAAGTAAGTAAGGTGATGATACCGCGTCTCACCCCACACTAATCAAGTCTATCTGATATATTATTATAAGATTATATATTATTTGATATATTATTATAAGTGAAACTAGATCACATCTTGTCATAATTTAAGCAGAACTTTCTACGTTCATCACACTACGTACTCAGTTTTATAATGGACAATTACATAAAGGTATAAGCAAACCAGAAGGGCAGGGGATTGTTAGTTATGGGGAATATTGCCCAATTACTAGTAATGTTATGGTACATTGCTGAATATGGCTCTAAAGAGGTCAATACAAATATTATTTTTACTAAATATGTATTAAAAAATCATCAAAACCTTAACAAGAATAGAAGCATTAAATTATAATAAATGATAATAATTTCCTTGGACAATTCACAAAGCATCAAACACAGTGTTATGGCTACTAAAACAACTGAAATAAATATTTAAATATATATTTTTGTTACAAATACATACATAGAAAGTTCCAAATTCGACACACACAATCATATTTATGAATACAAATGTCTCCATCGTGCGAGGAATCGAATCCGCGACCATTGGGAGTAAAGCCCCGCTTTACTAAATCCCTAGAGTACCAAGGCCATCATTGAATACCTAATCGACGAAAAATAAATCACAACCTGGACTAGTCCTTTTTAAAGTTGATTAGTAAGGTGTAATAAAAGTGTTTAAGCATTTTTAGTTCGTTTCGTTATTTTTCAAGCTAACTAACAGTGTATTGTTTGTATTCTAAAAGCACCTACAATTTTACGGCATACCTATATTATGCGAGAATACTTTCAGAGTTCCATATGTTTAGATAAAAAAGTTGAAAAAGAACCCCATAAGTTAGTAGAAATAACTACGATACCTCCATGTGTTATAAAGAACTTCGTTTTATATCAAATGCTTTTGTGAGTATGATTACTTCATGCGACTGTCTTAACCTCGGCTAAATTTAACAAATAACTAATATCGTCCTAAATTAATGAACCTTTGAACCAATATTTTTTTAGACTACCACATTGACACAAACACGGACGACACTTACTCTATATTTACAGTATGTTAAGTTAAATTAGTTATTATGGTTAGTATAGGCAGTTTAAAAAATAAGATTCTAGCTAGATAATTACACCGACCGCGATGTTTGATTTATCAAAACGATAATACCATTGATTACCATACAAACAAAAAATTATAAGTGACAAATATTTCATACCCATTTACTTATTATTTTTCAAAAAAGGAATATAAAAAATATAACAACAATATCTGGCCAAGCTGCCAGTATCATTATAATAATTGCGTATCAAGCTGCTTGAACAAAATATTTTTCAAACGTACATAATGTATACATGCTAGATTCAATCCGCTTGAATATCTACGATATTTACGGAGCCATTTTTATTATCTGTGGCTACACGTAACACGCACCATACATTACTCTATCTAATGTACAAAGTTACACGCTATATTATTGGTATAGGGAAACTATTTTCAGCGGCTGCATCTTTGCGAATCCAATATTTCCAGTTTTCTTGAGAATTTCTAAAAACTCTTTCGTAGCAGAACTTTTCACCTATCTAAAATCGTACTTCAAACAACTCCAGTGGTTTCCTCGAGCGGCAAAGCGATGTAGGTATCTTGAATGGTTTAATTCTTTCTGTCTCAACTGAATTCACGTCTCTATCCAGTCGGAGAAATAATAGATACGTATCTATTCCTATTAAATCAACGTCAAATTTATAGTTCAAGATCAGAGTAGGATCGTATTCTATAGTATTCAAAAAGAGGTAATTCGTTCGTAAAGGAGGACTACTGAAGGGGGTGATGTATTGGCGCTACTGTGGCAGATTGGCGTCGTCAGTGCCTTGACTACAGGGACTATTTATATTTATTAATATTACAAACGTATCTGTAAAGTATTTATGATGAATAAAACAAAAATTACTGAGGACTAAGATGTCTAAGAAATGCCTCCATGCTCTATAATTTCATTACCATTTGGTTTTATCAGTTTGAAGACAAACTAAAACACAACTTACGAAGAAAATGTTTGGTAGTAAAATAGGTTACATTAAGGCACTTACTCGAATGACTTTGTACGAAGTATAGCATTACTCAGACTCGGTATGTATCTATGTATATTTGAATTTGAATCGACCGTATTAAAGAATAAAGTTCGATTTCTTTTTCGGTTTGGTTTTCATTCGATCGCGTGCGAAAGTAAGTCCGCTGCTCGTGGTTTGGTAGTCGTAATTAATGGTTACACTAATGCATATATTTGTTGAAGGAATCGTCCATTACCCACGCATGCCAGTCCGAATGAGTTATGTTAGAGAGAGCCCCCACCTGCTCTACACTTGTAAGATAAATTGTGGTTGAATATCTGCAAAACTGATGAACATAATGCAATTGTTTATTGGAGTTACATTAGGTCCGTAATTTTCTTTTATAAAATTTATGAAGTTCTACTTAAAACAATTAATTTTTCTTAAAAAGAAAACACATTAAAACTGACAATTGGATTCCATTTGTTATTACTGACACTCACAATAAAATTGTTTTATGGTGAGATTTAGCGAAAACAAAAATTATTAAGAATATTAAATTAAACATTTATTATTTCTTTTTTATTTATAAAAAAAGGGTTGAATAGTGGTACTGTTGAGAGGGAATTTTGTTGGAAAATATGAAGTTAATAATCCTTCATTTCGAATGTTTTTTTGAGTTCGTTCTCAGGCTAGAAACTATTTTCACAACAAATTTCAGTGATCCTTTTAACAGCATAATTTTGAACTAAGATATATAACAGATAACTAATAGACAGACAGAAATTTATATTTATTTTGCTATCGTATATATTTGTTGTTATTCACGTTAGTTTTTTTTTAGATAAAATATGTCATCTGACCCTTATCGTGATACATCTTTACGTCAACTTACATTAAGATCCTTTCAGTCGTGATAGACATATAGATGTAGTAGACATATGTACATATATTATACATTTATACTATTAGCAAATACAAGTAAAAGGAAGATTTAGATGAGAATAATAATAAATTAAAAGGAAATATCAAGAAACGGAGTAATATCAAGGAGATTGTTTCTGAAGCGTAACTTAACTTAAATAAAACTTTGATTACTAAAATATTGATTTATTTATTAAATTGCAGCAACACTAATTCATATGTGATTATATTACCGAAGAGCTGAAACAGAAATATATATTATGACTAAGTGTTGACTTTTTTATATAAAAGATAGCCCATGTGACATCAAGATTGATAGATATCTAAAATACACTTCTTAGTAATATATAGTGAAGTAAAGACATAAATAGTATATTAGCACATGAATGCATTTCAATAAGGCGGTCTTATTACTGCATTAACCAAATTTAATTGACGACCAACCTGATGGTAAGCCGTAACTGTTGTATACATTCATCACGTTATCATGTAACGCCAGTGATAGACTAAGGTACAATGCCTTATAATATTTTCGCTGCCTATTCAAACCCTACGACCAAAATACAGTTTACAAAGAAAGCTGCTTGGGGGCTGAAATAGGTGAGCCTGATGTACTCACCCACACTTTTTACAGTTTACTTCTGGTACTTACCGTTAATATCATCATCCGTGTCACATAGAAGAAGTCAAGACCAGTTAAGGCCACATTAATGTTAGTGATCTGTGATATAAACCGTTCAACCTGAAAAATGAAATTAAACCTGAACGATAATTTAGTTGAACCCCCGACTTTGTTCATATATAACTTTATTGTTTCTTAAGTGAATAGAATTAAACAACCACTAGATATTAAGTGATGCTTACTGCAATACCTTAGTAAAAATCACATCCAAATAGGTTAGGACGTTTCTGATTAGCAATCGGGCAGATAAGCAAAAATATGAACTATAACAGTTTCATTTTATTTTAAGTTGATAAAGTCTTCTATTATTCAACTTATATTTATTTTTATATACAAACAGGGATCAATTATCTGAATATATATATTATTTGAATTTTTATGTTTGTAATTTATTCATCGGTTTGAAAAAATTGATTTATGTATAGTTCAAAATATTGAGTTGAAATAAAGATATGAGCGACTCCTCCTTGTTCCCCCTAATCTCCTCCTCTACCTATTAGCCCAAGAACTGATTGTATTTTTGAAGAAACAGAAACTATATAATAAACAATATTATATTATAAACATGTTGACCCGACCAACGTCGTCCTGCCTTATATAACTATGAATATTAACTCAGAGCATTCTACTTAGTAAGCAAACATTTAAAAAAATGTAACGACCATATTAATTTTCCTTTTCTAATTATCCGAGCGTCTGTCGTAATTTTTCTTTCATAAGAACGCAAAAAAAAAAGAATTAGCGACTTCGGTCCAGACGTTCACGCGTGATGTATGTATATATATAAATTAAAATATAAACAAATTAGTTATTAATTAAACATTATACTTGGAACTTACATCAGTATTGAACTTTGCAGCTGGCACCTCATATAGAAGAAAGAGAGGTGCATTGGAGGTCGAATGTACTCTAGCAGCCATCAGGAGTACAATGAAAGCACGCGCGACCAGGAAACTGAACGAGTATGTGAAGTACAGAGTGTGTTCTATACTATCACTGATCCTGGCAGAAAACAAAAATAGAAAAAACAATTACAGATTCTGTTATATACTTTATTGTCATATATCTTAACGATTCTAGATGGGATTCTCAGATTTATCATTGCCGGTAGTCGTGAGTTAGATTCCTCGCACAGCAACATTTATATTCATGTTTATATCGGTCTAGATATATTCTATATATTTATAAAAAAAATGTATCTATGTATTCATATCAGCTGTCTAGTAACCCATAAAACAAGCTCTACTTAGCATGGAACTAGATGGCGTTGTGTGAATGGTTCTAAGATATTATTATCGTTGTGATGATTTTTTTCGGACTTCTCCAATACTGTTGGCCAAATTCGGCCTTGACATCTTCACCGCACGATATGGGGCGAATGCAGATGGCACTCCAATCCCACGAAAGGACTTATGGAGCGGCTGAATGCCAACTTCCACCTGACGGATATAACTTTAGTCTGAGGGCATCACTAGGGGTACGAACCTCGGCTCAGATCGTCGTAATTTTGATCCCTGTTTGAATTTAACGGGGGATCGATCGGAGGGGATTCTTGTGATGAATGCAACACTTGATATACCCAGATTTTGCGGAATATATTTGAATCTAACATTGCAGGAATTACCTACCTATCGTTAGGAGCCTACAGCTCAGGAATTAATTTGGTTCATTATCGGTGTTTCTATTACTTCAGAGTCAGCCAGAAACATAAATTGACATACAGCTACGTAAAGCTTTTCGGTGTTAGATAAAGGTTCAACCATTATCAGACGCATTGTATACTGCATCATTGTTATGAGCCGCAGTTGACTTGATGTAATATCTCTTTATTTTTAAGAACATATAGGGAAATAATTAAGAGTAAGAAGCTTACATGACTGACCTGTCGTTTTGGCTGTGACAAGCTCCGGAGTGACCAGTTTGGTTTTTGCTAAAAATAAATAATGAAGTTTTATTGTTTAATATATGTATATGTACTAATATTATAAAGAGGTTGTATGTTCTGGAATAATTTAAATTACATACATTGCAATTAGATTTACATATAAAATAAAAAATTTAAAATTCAAGAATAGTGTAATAAATCATTGTGAAGTACTAACTTCAAAGTGTAAAATAACTGCACACATATCCAGTAGAAGTTGCTTCCGAAGCAGGTCATGATGTATATGCCAACGTGATCATTTATTAACTTCACTAGACGGACTATTTTCAGGTATTGCATACGAAATTCATCGCTGGAGAAATGTTCCTGTAATATATTTTATACTACGTTCTTTGATCGGAAATATCCATCGTATATTGTACAGAGTAAGCATAAACACTTGCTATTTTCTTTTGCAATCTTATCTGTTTTATTGTTTTTTTTTACGTAATATAAAAAATCTTGCATATGTTTTTCTAAAAATAGTTTGTCTTAACAACGATGCCTTATATTATATTCTTTAATCGAAAATATCTATCGTATTATTTTATAGAGGTATTAAAACACTAGCTATTGTCGTTTTTTCATCGGATATAAAAAAGAATCTGTGAAAATATAAAAAATGTCTGTCTATATAGTCTATCGTGATAACAAATTTCATAAAGATCCGTTGAACCATTAAGATAATAGAGGTCGTATAAAATCACGTAAAATTTGTTAAAACACTTTTTTTTTAATAAAAATCGCGTAACATTAGAAATGTTACGTTATATTGTTTGTCATTAACTATATCGAAAGCTCTCGGTTGCACAACGATTTTATTATTCACGTCTATCTAAAACAAGCAATTAATTTCTGTGTTTATAGCAGTATAGAATGTTTCATAGGCCTCTGTTACGCAAATTATTTTAATTAAAATAAATTTCATGGAAAATTCAAATATCGAACAATATTCAACCATATTGAATCCCGCAGTTTGCGGAATATTAAATTATAACTAAATATTTATATATTGATATTTAGAGTAAGATTTAGCTATATTTAATCTGTGGTTAGGTACCTGTTCTATAGCATTCTTCAACAATTTACTATGTAACACGAAATGTTCCGATAAATATGTACTGATAACTATAAGAACCACATCGTTGTAGCTCCATAGAAATGTAGATTGAATGTTGCATATCTGAAAGTCATTAGAATAATAATGTGAAACGAAGTGATGGCATAAAAAACATTGCAGAAAATCTATGAACTTTAGCCCTACAGTTACAGTTGTAAATATTTTTTTATAATATTTTCTTATGACAGATAAGTAAAAATATAACTATAGGATATAGGACAGACGGATATATTTTTTCCCGAACTTCTGAATAGTTTCTATTATTTGGAATATTGTTAAGTTTGTAAAAAGATAATTACAGTCGAATAAACAATAGAGATGCAAACTGACAGATCGTATTTGTAATTCAAAGCATTGTGAATGAGACGGTTTGCAAAAAAAGCGTCAGTGTAAAAAGAGAAACGGCAAGCTTCGTTGGTTGGCACATGCTGAAAGAATTTAGAATAAAATAGTCATGAAACCTATAAATGTGTAAACACATTATATTTGAGAAGAAAGCAGGTACAGGCTATGTTTAAACTAATCTACTAACTAAATAATGATCAGTTAGTTAGTTTTTTTTTTAACTGAGCATATTTTTGTAACTCTTTTAGCTTCTGCGTTTGCGCTTTCGGGTTACGCTCTCTTTAGCAGAGTATGTGAAATATGGAAGTGTTTTATTTGTTTGGTTTATTTATTATTTACATCAGTTACTTAGCTATAACAATAACTATGGCAATCTGTCACGTCTGCGGTGGTATACAACTTCTTGCGCTCAGTAGTCTTCCTTCATAAAGGTATATATTCTATATAATATGGTAGGTCCATGAACTTACTATGGTCTAACTTAAAGATATATAGAAATATATAGAAAATTAGTATAACAACTTACTTCAAACAGTATCCCCTTCCATAAACTGTACGAAGTGTATCCAAAAATCCAAGGTCTTCGGTAATGAAAGAATACTTCTAGAACGTCATAGTTGTTACAAGCTTTCGTCACAGTATATCCATATACAGCAGCTAGAAAATGTTCCACTGTGAATTGTTCCAAGTTACTCGTATATAATTAATTTTCACATCATATAATTTTTGTATATTTATAATGGATAAATAAAAAAAAAACACTGTTTAAATGATACCTATATTTGACGGCCTTCGGCCTCGGTAGTCTAGAAGTTTAACGCACCGCCTTACTTTCGATGGTCGCGGGTACTATTGCTCGCACGGTACAAGCATTTGTATCCATGAGCATGATTGTTTGTATGGATCTGGGTGTTTTATTTCCAAAAATATATATGTTTATATCAATTGTCTTGTATCCATAACACAAGTTCGACTTAGCTTAGAACTAGATGGCACTATGTGAATTGCTCTGAGATATTATTATAGAGTGACACAGACTATATATAACCCTGATATAAACAAAACTCACAACAACCGAGAAATTCAGAGAATTAATTGAATGACAATAGTAATATATTCACTTAATGTTGGCAATAGATACCTACATAAATACACTATGTTAATAAAGTGCCTTTTTTTTTTAAAGAAATTCAGTTGAGTTTTACCAATTCTTAATTGAATTTGTGTACTGAACTGGACGGTAGAGAAAAAACGTTCATAAGTGGCTAAAATGTCCTAAATGATTTTTGATTAGATTTTATTTAAATCATGAAAAAAATGTTTAAAAAAATAGAAATTCAATATGTACCTGAAGCTAAAATGAGACTGACTCCCGTAGCAATATTGCAGGTTATGGATATGTTTTTAGATAAAGGCGGTAGTTGATTCTCAATTTCTTCAACTTTCGCCATGAGTTTGGACCAATGTCTTCCAATATTGGCCAATATTGCCACTGTCGCCACACTTAATGTGTGGAATAGCAAATTTGCTGAAAATAAGTTATATAGCACAGTTACAATTATTAAAACATATCTTTCACAGCTGTGATCAACAGTTGGCTTAGTGAGGGGCAATGCCAACCGTTGACGTATTACGAATGTACACCTAACAATGCACACAACAATGTACTTACACATTTCAACTTAAAAATATAACGTTCTCGTTCTATTTATGATGCTTTCCGAATAAGTGGTAGATTAAAAACTTAAGTATGATTACACAAAAATTCTTATATTTAAGTTTATTTGAATAAAGAATTTTCTACTCTGTTTTACTCATTTTTTATTCACCCATAAAGGCAAGTTTAATTAATGTGATGAGGTAAAAAGTGACAATCTAATACAAGTAGAAGTGTTAGGTTTTTTGTACATATTTCATGGTCTGATTTCCTATGGAATTATATTCTTACATCAGGTCACTATTTTTTACAAATACTTACTAAAGTTAGATAGTGAGATATCATTTTCCAGAAACCAACGAGCGCTGAAGTAGAATGTTGTTACTTGGCCGATCAGAGTACCAAAGTATATTAATGAATACGGCGATAGTAGTGTGAATCTGTAAATATAGTACATTACTTGATCTACATATTTCTTGATTACAAAATTTACTTTAGTGTTTAGTGTATAAAATTCTTTTTTCCTGTGATATATGTGAATGCTCTTGGAAAAGTGACTTGAACTGGCGATATTAATTTTATAAAAACTATTTTCCAGATAAAGTACCGCCTAAGCAACTGGAGTGTTGTCTCTCTGTCTTCTCCATGCGGTCTCTCTTGGAAAACTGTCCTGATCTGGCGAGTCACAGTGGCCGGAACCGGGAGTGTAAATTATTTGTTTTGGCTCCTCTAAAGTATCAGTCTTTTTGACATTACGGATTCCAAAGTGTCTTCTGGTCAAGGAACATCCAGCGTGTCAGATATTGAAAATCTTTACAAATGAGTTCTTGCTCATATTACTGGAAGAGATGAGGAAATCTCTAAAGCATCTCCCATTGAGCAGAAAGTGACAACTTTATATACATCCTATTATATTATCCTGATGTCTCTCCAGTGTATACCTGCCATTAGTGCAGGCGGATGCATTATTTTTGTACTATTCATTCATCTATTAATTGAATAATAGACTAATAATAACCACCCAGAATAGTCCATACAGCACTATCTAGTCCCGAGCTAAGCAGAGCTTGTTTTATGGGTACCACACAACTGACATAAGTTCTGAAATATATACATATTTAATATATACATATTATACATAGAAAACACCCAAACCAATAATAATAATAATAAAGACATTTATTCAGCATTACAGTATTCTTACAATACATACGATCTTACTCATGATGAAGTGTTGATGAAGAGTGATCTTACGAATAAGTGGTAGATTAAAAACTTAAGTATGATTACACAAAAATTTTTATATTTAAGTTTATTTGAATAAAGAATTTTCTATTCTGTTTTATCCATTTTTTATTCACCCATAAAAGCAAGTTTAATTAATGTGATGAGGTAAAAAGTCTTGCAATGTGCGAAGATTTGAACCTGTTTAGTGTATAAAATTCTTTTTTCCTGTGATATATGTGAATGCTCTTGGAAAAGTGTAACCAATAATAATAATAAAGACATTTATTCAGCCAGTATACAATACATTGCTGAAAGTAACGCAGTATCCTAAACCGCTAGACCACAGACGCCCTATAAGGGCGTGAATATACAATGATGAGGAGATGTAAAAGTTGCTAATAATTATTGCAAATTTTCATGACTCAGGTTCATTTTCCATTAGTTCGCCATACGTAATCCTTTATAGAATAAATATTTTCCAATATTTTTTGTACATATCATCTCACTTGAGACGTGTTTTATAGTCCGACAAATCAATTCCCGATTCTCCTAATATAAGGAATATTTAGAAACTACTATTAACCTATTCAAGCATTGAAAGAAAAAGACTGAGTCTAGAAAATTGAAACTTTAAACATAGGTACGCTTTTCTGACGTGAACATTTTCTAAAGCAGGATTTCTTGAATTTCCCGCGGGAACCGGAGATAACGGGTTCCGCGCGAGCGAAATCGCATTAAACAGCTGATTTCATATTATATGTGAACAGGCTGCCTTTTGACGACATTGAATAGTAATCATATCTGAATTGAACTGAATAGGCTCAAGTTCGATGGTCTCAGATATTGACTGGCATTATTATCTTGTCGGTAATTTGACCGGTTTAAAATGTAGCCTATATAAATAAATAAATAAATAGCCCTGGACAATTAACACAGTGTCATCTAGTCCACTCCACAGTAAGCAGAGTTTGTGTTATAGGGACTAGACAACTGATATGAATACTTAGATATTTTCTTGTAAATACATGCATAATATACCGAAAACACCCAGACCGATACAAACAATCATAGTAATTTTTTTTGGTTTTTGGTTTTGCATATAAAATATATATTTGTAAAAAAATATATGCTATTATATTATCACACCATATATACACCCCTCCGATCGAACCCTCGTTCAATTCAGACGGGGATCAATATTACGACAGCCCGAGGTTCGAACCCCTAGGTGCCCTCAGACTAAGTAATAAGCCGTTCCGCGGGTTTGGAGTCCCATCTACACTCGCCCCCTATAGTCCGGTGAAGCTGTAAAGGCCAATTACGGCCAACAGCATTAGAGTAGTCCGAAAAAAAACCAAATATATGCATAGTTTTCTATCTGACCAATACCATCGAGTCATAGTATAATCAAACCCGCGACAATCAAAAACTAAACCAATAGATAGATTAAGCTGTCTCCACCATCATAGTCAGCACTTTTATTGAAATCGTATTTTTTATATTTTTAAACTTGTATCCAATTCAATTATACTCGAACATAATTTGATTTTAAAACGATTTAATATCGAGAATTTAAAATGAAAATCGATAGATTTTTTTATTCCATATTTTTTATTATTCCTTAAATAATTAGATACTTACCTGAGTACATCTATGCGTGGATTTGTGAGACCACTAAGAGGTAACATGCCCATTATTCGACCACACAGCAGAGTCAATCTTATCACTGCATGCAACCCTTTAGCCTCCTTTTTAGGTATTTGGGGTCTTATTTCAGGGTCACGTGGCTTTACCGTTATGGGATGTGTCATGATGATTTTGATTTTATCGTTATTGTTTATAATGTTTATTTAAACAAGCTTTTTTAGACCTCGGACTATTCTAAAAAGGCGCTTTTTACTATGTTTAATTATTTATGAAGTCATCAATAATAAAATTTCAGTTGAATGTTTTATTTTATTGTTTAAAATGTATGAATAGTAAACTGATTGAAAAGTTCTAAAAATAAATACATAGATATACTTTATCTTAAAGTTATTGTCTACGTATGTTAAAGTTGCAATTGTTTTATTCCCTTATAAGAAATCAAAAGATTTTTTATAAGCAAAAACTTTGTGCCACTTATTACTAAAATTGCACGCACGGAGAAGTATGAAATTTCGCGCACTGATAGTTTATATAAAGAAAGAGAAAGTATGCTTTACTTAGGCATAAAAATATATTTAATCAATAAAAAAATATTACACACATTACTATATATTTCACACACACGCATATATACTCTTTTGTTAATTTGTTATTGTTGGATCAAACATTTTTTTTACTTTTTATTATGATCGAATTTCGATAATTAATTTAATTAAATATTGTAAAATTATGATCAAGTTTCAAACTTCTAACAGGCGATTCTAAATTACTTCTGCCGTAATACCAATAGGTGAGTTTGTTATTACAAGTCGATGTAACGTTTATTTACTTCAAAGTAAATCTACATTAGTGCTGGTATCTAAACAAACACTTACGAAATATGTAAAATTTGAACCTTCAGCCGTGGATATAAGGATGAAGTTCTGCCTAAAGTATTTTGTTTAGAATAAAAGTTGTATAAATATTAGTAAGCGTCATTCGACAAATCGTTTCGTTAAAAATACTTCAGTTTGAAAGCTAAAATCGAACTATGGATGTTTGTACTATTTTTATTATGTTCTTTATGACAAGGTTTCACAGAACCAGAATTTGCTTTGGCTAGGTACCATCTCTCTCATCTATGTTTTCTTATGGATGATAATAGAATGATGCACCCGCCTGCTCTAATGGTTTACGCTGACGGGGCACCAGTGGAGCGTTGTAAAATAAGCATGAAGACTTAGCCCATCTTTGCAAATGGGAATTTACGATGGTTTCCAGGGGGAAGCGTGTAAAGGTCAACCTGACATGGCAATTGTGAGTAGCTATGACGTGGTCTGGTGTTTCAGTCTCATATATTTCTGCCGCCAAGCAGCTTGTTTAAGATGTGTTTCCGTTGAAGGGTGAAGATAAGGCGATGAAATTAAATAGAAGCGTAATATCTTAGTCCTCCGAAATAAGCGCAGTGATGGCTGGCTCATCCGTCATACTCGTGAACGGATGATGTGTTTTTGTAACTGGTGACAATTGCTCTTATCACTATGACTGATTTTCCCTTATTAATTGTTTAACCAGTTGGTTATGTATTCATATATTTTATATCTTTTTGAGTATTTAATTGAATTAGTGCTAATCGGTGGTTTGTATTCACACACTTAAACTTAAATCGATTATATAAGAATAAATTATCTCTAAAAGAGCGTAACAACGGATATAAGTTTCTTGCTTGTTCTTCTTGTGATATAGATATCGAATGTTATTTTTAGCGTGTAGATTAAAAAAAAAATGTTATGACTATTCAAAAGTGCTTCAATGTAAGTTTATTTGAATAAATGATTTTCTATTCTATTCTATTCTATTCTATGGTACACTCCGAGCAATGGGGTTATTAGTCCACAATACTAACAACCCCCTTAGTCTCATATATTTCTGCCGCCAAGCAGCTTGTTTAAGATGTGTTTCCGTTGAAGAGTGTAGATAAGGCGATGAAATTACATAGTTAGAAGCGTAATATCTTAGTCCTCCGAAATAAGACGCTTGATGGTACCATGGAAGTCACGTGATGATGTGTTTTTGTATCTAGGTGACAATTACCACTTACCATCAATTGATTCATTAGCTTTCCTATTTTACTTACACAAAAAAGGTTTATCTCCTAAACAAATATATAATATCAATGAAACGAACAGACTGCAAATCCACTCTTAAGCGTATTTTGATTAAATATATAGTAATAATATCTCTGCGAAATTTTCGTAAAAACGGATATAAATTTTTTGCTTCGCGTTTTAGTATATAGATATCATTAGTTATTTTTATTCCGTGAATTCATAAATTTATATTACTATTAAATTGTGAAATAATTGGATACCTTTCTATTCCTTCATTAAGTTTTTAAGCTATCTGTGCTCATTAGTAATAAATATTCACAACATTATCTAAGGCTATTTCGAAACTTAAAATGCTGGCATATTTCTGATGACATCAGAGAGGAAGTAAAATTATTATCTGCGTGGAATTTGTCATACACGAACATCTCGCGTTGAAGTGTATTAATCTCCTACTCCGTTTACTTACAAGGCATTCCGTGTTCATATACCATGTATAAACGAATTTCCTCAATAAGGCCGCTGTACACTAACTTATTATCACTTTTTTTTAAATATTCACTATAGCACAGGAAAGAATAGTGCTAAAAATATTTAGTATTCTATTTTTAAAAATGTTTAAAAGTAGTTTGTTTGATATGTGAATCTCCTATTCCATTTACTTACAAGGCATTCCGTGTTCATATACCATGTATAAACGAATTTCCTCTATAAGGCCGCTATTACCTAACTTATGATCACTTTTTTTCTTAAATATTCACTATAGCAAAGGAAAGCATTTTAATAAAAAAATATTCTATTTTTAAAAATGTTTAAAAGTAGTCTGTTTGACATGCTGCCATAGGGGGAAAAAGAGATAACTTTTTTAAATATTCACTATTAGGAAGGGTAAAAAATCTTTTATATTCTATTTTTTTAAATGTTTGAAAGTCGTTCGTTCGACATGGTGCCACAGGAAAAGGGAATTGTTGTAACGGACACTACTGATTCCAATTTTAATAATAAACGCTGTCAGGTCGACTCCACGTGGAACCTTGGAAACTATTATATTCAGTTCCTGGTAAATTAGCCACTATGGACTAACTCATCGTATCATCCTCGTATAATGTCCCACCAGGGTATACCGTTACCACAATCGGATACACCATCCATTACTCTTAATTTAATTCTAACATTTCTATTTATCAATTATATTAGTCCACAATTCGCTACTTTCTATGCATATTATTTACAAAAACGAACATAAATTTCTATAAATTCCTAGTGCTCCATTACGAAATATTCGTTAGGAATTCCATTAGGAATAAATCACTTATTTTATTATTATTTTTTAAATACAATAAACACTACTGTCGAATATTTTTTTTGCATTTAAAAACGCATATCATTTAAATGAAATCAGATTTTAATTTGATATTTGATCAAATTAGATAGACAACTAGTACTGGTAGGTACTAGTAAGGAGTAGTTATAAAATTAATGGAATAATTAAGTAGTTTAAAGTTTGCTCTCCCCAGTGCAATTGTAAGGTGTGAATGCGCCTTAAAAAGTAAATTCTTTCTCAGATTGTACTCGAGTGGCGCGGCGCTCCGTAAATTATTTCGTTCGAGAAAAGAATTTTAAATTACGAACATCTTATCTTCTGAATGCAGATAAAATGGTGAGACTAATTAATTTTATTAAAGCTATTTAAAATTTGCATATACATGCCTACTGTGTGTCTACGCCATATTTGTAATCCAACCAGAATTGATTCATTCGATGTTTTCACATTAGTGAATTTTGTAAAAAGTCGTATGCGTACACGGCTACGTATATTAGATGCCAAGCAGCTTGCTTTGTAAACTGTATTTCGGCTGTGAACTTTTAGAGTGAGAAAAGGCTGGGAAATTATAAGGTAAAAGGCATGACATCTTATCGTACAAAATGCAATGCACAAGTGTTAACACGAGTGTCACATGACACTGTGACGTCTGTAGTTCTTTTCATGGCAATGGTTACCACGTACCATCAGGGCGACTGGTTTGCCATTCGAATTACATACAAAAATTTACATCTTTGACGGGATATTTACCTACTGTTGATATGCCCGCATTTTGCATACAGTAAAATGTTTTTTTTAAACGTGATCATCTCTCATATTAAATTGGATACATCCCTTGGAGATAACCAGATATAATGTCAGATTGAAATTCAAACACCCGAACTTCAGATTTTATAGTATAGTAGTTAACCACAGTATAAGGTTCTCAATTTATTACGTATTCGATATTAATAACATGTTGTCTTATTTCTGATAGTTTCCTGTTATTTAGGCGCGAATTGGGTTTAGGTACTCGTAGTACTCATTAGTTTTGCGAATATAGTTCATGATTGAACTTATGAACTTGTTCGTCCTTTTAGTTCGTTCGCTCCCAACTCGAGAATAGGCCAGTGTAGGTCTCTAAGTTTTTTTTTTACCAGACGTCATATACATATGTGCGGTAAAAAATACTCACGTTTTTTATAGCAAGGCTTTTTACATTTTAACAAACGAACTAAAGGGCGAACAATCTGAAAATAGTTCGTGTAAAACATCTTTACGATTTATCAAATGAACTAAAGAGTGAAAGATTTGAGAACTATATCGCGTAGTTCGGAAATATCTGCGAACTAATCCGCAGATCTTTCGCATTTGAAAAGGTGCGGTCTCCCAAACTAGTTCCTTAAGGAACTACACAAGCATAACTCTGGTAGGACACGATTGATGGATTGTACCAGTAGTTAGTGATTAATCATTGCTGTTGCCACTCGAAGGCAGTAAATATATCGCAAATGATCATATTATTATGATCACCACATCGACAGAGGGACCGTTTTTTGGTTATACTTTATCGTACTGTACGAAATTTTATGTATAAAAATCTCGTGTCACAATGTTACTTATCATACTCCTCCCAAACGGCTTGATCGATTTTTATGAAATTTTATATGCATATTCAGTAGGTCTGAGAATCGGCTACTATCTATTTTTTATACTCCTATGTGGTAAGGGATATCCACCCCTAAATATATTTTTTCAAGATAATATTTTATTA